GGGAAAGCTTTTGGTACACACAGTCATTGTCAAAGACATGAACGAACTCACACTGGTGAGAAACCCTATGTATGTAAGCAATGTGGGAAAGCTTTCAGTACACATGGTAGTTGTCGAGAACATGAAAGAACTCACACCGGGGAGAAACCCTATATATGTAAGCAGTGTGGGAAAGCTTTCAGCACACGTGGTAGTTGTCGAGTACATGAAAGTACTCATAATGGAGAGAAACCCTATGTATGTAAGCAATGTGGCAAAGCATTTAGCACACGCAGTTGTTGTCGAAAACATGAAAGGACGCACACTGGGGAGAAACCGTATGTATGTAAGCAGTGTGGGAAAGCTTTCCGTACCTATAGTCATTGTCAAAGACATGAACAAACTCATACTGGTTTGAAACCCTTTTCATGTAAGCATTGTGGGAAAGCATTTAGCACACATGGTAGTTGTCAAATACATGAAAGAACTCATGTTGGGCATAAACCGTATATATGTAAGCAATGTGGGAAAGCTTTCAGTGTACATGGTAGTTACCAAGTACACAAAAGAATTCACACTGGGATGAAACCATATATATGTAAGCAATGTGGGAAAGCTTTTAGCACACACAGTTATTGTCAAATACACGAACGAACACACACTGGAGAGAAACCCTATACATGTAAGCAATGTGGGAAAGCTTTCAGCACACACAGTTGTTGTCGAAAACATGAAAGAACTCATACGGGGGAGAAACCCTATGTATGTAAACAATGTGGGAAAGCTTTCAGCAGGCAGAGTCATTGTCAAAGACATGAACAAACTCACACTGGGGTAAAACCCTATTTATGTAAGCAGTGTGGGAAAGCATTCAGCACACATGATAGTTGTCAAGTACATGAAAGAACTCACATTGGGGAGAAACCATACATATGTGAGCAATGTGGGAAAGGTTTCAGTGCACATGGTAGTTATCAAGTACATAAAAGAATTCACACTGGAGAGAAACCCTATGTATGTAAACAATGTGGGAAAGCTTTCAGCAGAAACAGTTATTGTCAGATACATGAACGACTTCACAGTGGGGAGAAACCATATGCATGTAAGCAATGTGGGAAAGCTTTTAGCACAAATAGTTGTTGTCGAAAACATGAAAGGACTCACACTGGGGAGAAACCCTATGTGTGTAAGCAGTGTGGGAAAGCTTTCAGGACACACATTCTTTGTCAAAGACATGAGCAAATTCATAATGGGGAGAAGTCCTATATATGTAAGCAATGTGGAAAAGCTTTCAGGACACACATTTATTGTCAAAGACATGAACGAACTCACACAAAGGAGAAAACATATGTATGTAAGCAATGTGGGAAACCTTTCAGGACCCAAAGTAGTTGTCAAAAACATGAAAGGTCTCATACTGGGGAGAAATCCTATGTATGTAAGCAATGTGGGAAAGCTTTCAGGACATACAGTTATTGTAAGTTACATGAAAGTAGTCACAAGGTAGAAAAAAATTTAAGCAATTTATAATAGTTTTTGTTCACTCTAATAATAAACAGACATTAAAATTTGAAAGTAAGTTAACTGGAAAGATAAAGTAACTTGCACTGATGTGAAAGAACCTTCAATGGAGAGAAGCACTTTCTTGGTAAGCCATATAAAATTCTTTCAGTACACACAAGTATTGCATAAGTGAAGAACTCATAGTGAAGAGAACATGAACATTTGTGATCAGTGTTGAAACTTATTTCTCTCAATGCCTTAAAACAATAATTCACATGAGAGGGAAGGCATATATATGTAATAAAAGTGGTAAACTCTTTTGTTCTTCCACTTACTTTGAAATGCTTGGAAGAACCTCTACTAAAGCGAGAGAGCCTATGTAAATAATGTGAGAAAGAATGTCCTGGTTTCAGTAATGTCAGGAAAAATGTACAAATTCACACAGTGTTAATACAATACAGAATGTGAGAGGATGTTCACATGGCTTAAGCAATCTCAATGGGAGACTCATGGCATTTCATAATGAGAGACTCCTCAATACATTATAGTCATTTTGGGTTAATTCACAATACAGACATGCTGTATTCTGAGAAAACATTAATATAAGGGATATGTACAAGTATTCAACTGTCCTACATGTAAGAATGAGTATTGGGTTAAATCCATGTGCCTATGCAAAGTTCTTAGTTGTAAGTCATACTTCAATATATTTGAACACTTCTCACATGGTTAACACCTATGCAAGCCAGTCATGGAAACAATGTGAATTCTCCATGTAAGATGAAGAGATATTCTAAAGTATAAATATATTATGTAAATCACTGGAATAAATATTTTTAAATTCAATTTTAAATATACATAGCCTCAATTTTGTATTTTTTAATTTTAAATTTTTACTACTACGTATTTGTCAAACAATGATCACATAAGTCATAAGGATTTTGGACCTGTACAAAATATGTATTCTTCCCCTTTTCCCATTCCCCCATTTGCAACATTACTCACTCTGTATTTACAAAAGCTTTAGTTCCATTTTTCTCTTATTTAATCTCATTTACCTTCCACCTTGCCCCTCCTTTATTCCCCTTCCAATTTTAAGATGGTCTTTCTAATTCCTGGTATTCTCCATTTTCTTCATTATTTACACTCTGGGTTTCTCACGCAAAAGAAACAATGTGATATTTAAACTTGTGTGTCTGATTTTACAAATTATAAAATTTATTTATTAAGATAGACTTAAGGTGCATTGATTTACCTAAAAACAATTCAGATTTATTTTTCTTTATGGCAAAGTAGTACTCCACTTTAAATATCACATTTTATGTATTCATCTCTTGATGAGCATATGGGTTTTATGAAGATTTTTCCAGTATAAATTGTGCTGTTATAAACATAGGTATGCATATATCTCTGTGGAATGCCTTTAACTCTCAGGAACATACCAAAAAGAGGCATAACTGGGTTAAATGGAACCTCTAGTTTTAGTTTTTGAGGAATCTTCCTTCAGATTTCCATCATAGTTTTACCAATTTACATTCCCACCAACAATGGAGAAGCTTCCTTCTCCTCTCACCCTTGCCAGCATTAATTGTTGGTTGATTTCTTGATGACTGCCATTCTTTCTTGAGTGAAATATAATATCAGTGTTGTTTTCATTTGCAAAGTTTGAATGACCAGTAATGTTGAACGTTTTTTCATATATTTATTTGCTATTTGTACTTCATCTGATAAGTGTCTGATTATTACAGATGCCCTTTTTTGGATTGGTCTTTAAGTGGGGGTATGTCCTTTTAAATATTTTTACATGTTATAGATGGTGTTTATCTAAGGAGTAGCTGTTGTTTTCAGCAGAATAAGTGTTTCAGTCTTAGTTGAGCGCACAGAGATAAAAGTTTCTAGGTTTAACCTATGGCATGTGGAAATCCAGTTTTCCAGCACCATTTTCTAAAGAACCTACCTTTCCTTCATTGAAGATGTTTGACCACTTTGTCAAATAACATAGCTGAGTTTGCATGGCTTTATTTCTGCATCTTCTGCTCTATTGATACTCAGGTCTCTTTCTTTGGTAGAACCATCCTATTTTTATCACATTAGGTTTGCAGTATAACTTCAAATCAGGGGTTGTAATGCCCCATGACTTACCCTTGCTATTAAGAATAACTTTTGCTATTTTAGCTTTCTTCTGGTTCCATACAAATTTTAGGATCTTTTTTGCTACTTCTATGAAGTATGCTATTACTATTTTGATTGGGACTGCAGTAAGTTTGAATAACAGTTTTGCAGTATGGCCATTTTCACCATATTGTTTTTGTCTGCAAAAGATGTCTTTCCATTTTCTCATGTCCACTTTGATCTCTTTTTTCAGAGTATTATAGTTTTTAATGTAAAGGTTATTCACTTCCTTGGTAATTCACACATGAATTACCAAGCTGAAAGAAGATGCAAAAATCCTGAATATTCCAGTATCAGTGAAATTGAGGAAGTAATTTTAAATACCTACTAAGAAAAGCCAGGGTCTTGATAGATTCATGGCCAAATTCTACAAGAACTTTAGAGAATATCTAATGTGAATCCTCCACAAACAGCTTAATGAAATCAAAAGTGAAGCAGTACTCCTCATGTCATTGTTGATAGAAAGCATTACACTGATTCTAAAAGCAGAAGACACAACCAAAAAGACAACTACAAGCCAATCTCTTTAATGAACATAGGTGCAAAAATCCTCAATAAAATAGTAGCAAATACAATACAGAAAATCCTCAAAAAGAGCATACTTCACGAACATGTAGGACTTATTCAAGGGATGAGGAATAATTCAAGATACACAAACCAATAGTGTAATACACTACAAAAGCAGAAGCAAGGACTAAAACCTCATGATTACCTCAATAGTTGAAGGAAAAATCTTTGACAAAATTTAACATCAGTTTTTGTTATAAATCTTGAGGGAAATAGGTAGAAGGGCTTTATCTCAGTCTGATGAAAGCCATCTATGACAAACTAACAGTCAATATTGCATTAAACTGAGAAAAGAACACTTTCCCTTTAAAAATCAGATATAAGACAGGGATGTCATCTATCAGCAATGGTTTTCAATATGGTTCTCAAAACATAGCCATAATCAGGCAAGAGAAAAAAAAATTAAAAGGTTAGGGACAGGAAGAAGTAAAATTATCAATATTTACACATGATGTGATACTCTCCATAGAAGACCACAAAAACTCAACCAAAAGGATCCAACAGTTATTAACCAAATTTAGTAGCATAGGAGGATACAATGTCACCACTTAAATATAAAGATGATTTCTATTCAACAATAACAAATACACTGTGAGAGAAATTTTAAAAACAATAACTTTCTTAATCACATCAAGAAAAACAAAATAGAAATGAACCTAACAAAGGAAGTAGAATACCTCTACAATGAAAATTAAAGTATTCTAAACAAGAAAATAGAGGAAGAATTTAGAAAACAAACTGTAATTGCAATCATAGTGCCAATAGCAGTTCTCAAAAATCTGTAGGAAAAATTCCTAAGATTTATGTGGATCCATAAGTGACCTAGAAAAGCCGTTTTTGCCAACAAGTACAAGGCAGGAGAGATAACAATCCCAGATTTCAAGTTATAGTACAACTCTAGAGTGATTAAAAGTAGCATGGTATTGGCAATTCACAAATGTATACATAAATTGAACAAAACAGAGGATACAGAAACAAGTACAAGCATACTCTACCTTTTTTTTTGTTGGGGAGTGACTGTAAGCCAGATCCTCACTACATATTTCAGGCTGGTTTTAAACTCACTATGTAGCGCAGGCTGGCCTTGAACTCTCAACAATCCTCCTTCCTCAGCCTCGTGAGTTCTGGTATTACAGGCATGTACTACCACGTCCAGGTTCTATTTTATCTTTGACAAGCAGCCAAATGCTTTCAGTGAAGGAAAGATTGCCCCTTTAGCAACTGGGAAAACTGGCTTTCCACATGCCAAAGACTGAATCTAGACTGATATCACTTACCATGCATGAAACTGAAATCAAATTATATAAAAGATCTAAGTAATAAAATATTAACATGTAATCTGCTGATAGACAAAATAGTTAAAACTTTTGAAGACATTAGTATAGGTAAAGATTTCTTATCAGAACTCGAGTTGCACAAGAAATAATCCAAGTTTGAACAAATGGTACCACATCAAATTTAAAAGCCTCTGCACAACAAACAAAACCATCAAGAGAGTGATGAGGCAAACTATGGAATGGGAAAAAATTTTGATAACTATTCATTTGATGAGGGGCTAATACCTAGAATATATGACAAACTCAAAATTATATCTACAGAATTTAAGCATAAATAATGGGTGGCTGGGCATACTGGCACATGCCTGTAATCCCAGCACCTGGGAGGCTAAAGCAGGAGGATCACTGTGAGTTCAAGGCCAGGGTAGTCTACAAAGTGAGTTCCAGGCTAGCCTGAACTGCATTGCAAAACCCTGTCTCAAAAAGAATAAATAAATAAATAAATAAATAAATAAATAAATAAATAAATGGCATCTGGAATGTATAGAGATTTCATAGAAGCAGCATTAAAGCCAATAAATACATGGAAAAATATTTAATATCAATGACCACTGGGGAAATGAAAATTAAAACATCACTGAGGTTGCATCTCCAGCAAGAATGGCTGTATTTAGGGAATCAAATAATAACAAATGCTTGTCAGGATGTGGGGGAAAAGAAACATTATTCGTTGTTGGTAGGACTGTAATTAACCACTCTGGAGATCAGCATGGAGATTCCTCAAAAACCTAAAAATAGAAGTTTCACTCAACCCAGCTATGTACTTTCTATGTATCATTACAAAAACATTAAAAACATCATACTATAGTGATACCTGCATGCCCATGTTTAAAGGAGCACAATTTATAATAACCAAATTTCAGAAGCAGCCTAAACATGCATCAACAGATGAACAGATAAAGAAAATGTATTTATATACATTAGAATGGGACTATCTATAGAGAAGGACAAATTAGAGTCATTTGAAGGAAAATTCATCAAATTCTCTCAATTCTAGCTCTATCTCAAATATTCCATATCTCAAATATTCCAAGTTTTCTCATTTCACATCTACCATTGTGCAACTCCTGAATTTACTCAATCTCCTATATGGGCTCTGCATTCATTTTTGTCCATCCTAAACTCTATTTTCAATTCAGGAGCAGTCTTTTCTTTAAATTATAAAAGTAATCATGCCCTTTGTCTTGGTTACTTTTCTCTCGTTGCTGGGACAAAATACCTGACACCCAAAATTAAGGAAGGAAAGGTTTATTTTGCTTACAGTCTGTGGAGGTTTCAGTCCGTACTTGGCAGATTACAAGGCAGACTGGCACATGGCAGGGAGCTACAGCTGAGGGTGACAGAACACAGCAAAAGCCACAAGCACACACCAGGGCAGAATGGCCTCAAGCACCCCTTTCCTCTCCCTTACATATGCAAACTATCCACTCCAGGGCGGGTGCAGCTCTCACACCCATAATCAAACTCTAAAAGCCTGCCCCATGGCCGCATGAGGCTTGGGGGGGACACACAGACGTAAATCATAACACTCTTTCTGTCCTTTAAACTCTGACAACAGTGGTTTTCCTTGCAATACAATACCTTACCATACAATACCTTACAATACAATACCTTACAATACAATACCTTACAATACAGTGCAAAGTTTATGATGACCTTTAGGGTCTCCTGCCCTTCTGTCCAACCTAGCTCATCCACTCCCTGCTTTCTTTACTCTTAATTTAGCTTTCCACGTCTTTTCTCAACTACTGGAACACACTAGGAATTTGTACTGTGTGGGAGACCATGCCTGTTAAATGTCTTTTGAAGTCTCCTCAACAACCATACTATACAACCAAATCCCTTTGTTGCATACATGTAACTCTTAGGTTCAAACATTTGTCTCTTTTCAGTTATTTTCCTTGACATACACCACGTTATCCTGGTCAGTAGTCTCACATCACCTGTATCACTATTAAGTTAAAACCCCTATTCCCAGCCGGAATGAAACTTCCACAAGGACAAACATTCTGCATAGTTCAGATACGTTCTTTCCCAATTCTTCAGGGCCTAGTTCACTGAAGCCATCTCCAATAAAAATGTGCCCCAAATTAACAGTCCTCAGGAATAATTCAGTAGAGCAAATCTAAGAAAGCATATACCTACACACACATGTTGTTATATTACAAAAATCAAATGTAAACATGATTTTAAATGCATGTTAATCATACAGCATAAATCAAAATAGATTTCAAGTATCTTTAGGAAACAATGCTACTTCTTTCTAGAAAGGCAAGGCAAAAATATATT